CAGAAAGAGAGAGACATAGAGAGAGAGAGAGAGAGAGAGAGAGAGAGAGAGAGAGAGAGAGAGAGAGAGAGGGGGAGAGAGAGAGAGAGAGCGCGCGCAAGAGAGGCTTACCTGCACAAGTTCTGGGTTGTTCTCGCGGATTTCCCAGGCTTTGGCAAGCCTCTGGTCCTTTTTACTCCTCATCCTGCGACGTTTCTGATTGGACAAAAGATCATGGGCCACGGGGAGTGGCAGTTAATGTGTTGGCCATTATGCTTTCACCTATCTGTAATAGCTGACGGGCGACAAGATTATTTCGTTAGTCATTTCGTAAATAAAGTATTTTTTTCGTTGTTTTTTTAACGACTTGTTTCGAAAAAAGAAGAGCTTGCTCCAAAAAATGGAAGCACTTTCGTGGAATTCAGCCTTTACGTTTCTGATAGCTATACAATGTATGAAAGTATACCGTCCCTTTATGAAAAAATATAATGAAGTTAAAGAGGTACTATCTATCACGAACGTGGGGTAATTGGTTACCGCCTTGTTTGCTGTTTTCGGAAAGTTCTCGAAGTTCAGATCATTATATTCCGTTAGACTGAATACATCTACACATGCCTTCAGCCTTGAAATGCGTTTGTTCAAAATAAAAACCTCCAAGAAACATATCACTTATTGCTTTAAAGAAACTTTTATTCACAAGTCGTTGATTATATTGTACAGTACACCGAGGTTTATCTAAGTTCACATCACGAACATAATTCCACATTTTTCTCTTTGAGATTCACAGCAGAATTGTTGTTCAACTTTCTCAAACTAAACTCGTAACTAGCTACACAAAATTGGAAGCAAGACAGCGCAACACACTTCACTTTCATAAGTTTTAACTCCTCTTCCTGGTCCATACAGCACTCAGGAATCGAGCAACACCAGTTAATTTACAATAAAAAGCGTATTTTTTTATTTACTTCTTTTGAAATGTACCCATGAAAGAAGGATAAAAATTGCAGTTAAATGGTATACACAAAATCAATGCACGGTTGAAAAACGTAACATGAGCATGGCAGTGCGTTCCTCACAGGACGCATTCTATAAAGTTATTAGGTGTATGTTGGCCGAGACATCTTTTCAACCCGCCAGCCACTTTCTCCGCGGCGTTACTCGTGGTTTTTAGAAAACTTCATTCTGTGAGAGCCATATTCATGGCAGGCCCACTCAGTGTTGTGAATGTTAATGTTAGTCGATAATATTGATTTGATAGAACGCTGAGTAAGAATTTTTTTAAAGACTATTGATTTCCGTTTCTTCGTCCTTCTGTGTGTCTTCGAGTGGTTGAAGCGAATAGATTTCTTTTCCACGACGATAGATTTACGATCTAAATTGAAAGTTAAAGCTTGTACCAAGCATTGCTTGTATAATATTTTAGCTCTGATGTTGCTTGAGCGAGGGTCGGTGTGTATTTTGTTGGAGAGACCTCGTGTGTTTTTGTTCGTTTCTGTGCCAACACATGACTAAACGTGTTAAGGTGGCTATGTAGATGTGTTCGTGTGTGTGTGTGTGTGTATGTGATTGTGTATGTGTGTGTGCACATGCATGTGTGCGTATTTGTTTGACAGACACCCACTGACAGAAAGAGAGACAGAGACAGACAGACAGACAGACAGACAGACAGACAGACAGACAGACAGACAGACAGACAGACAGACAGACAGAGGCAAAGAGACAGAGAGAGAGAAAATCAGGGAAAAAGCCATTGACGCGTACACTAAAGGAATGAGACATTTGGGTGTTTATAGAACGTCAATTTACACTAGGGTTTTTAGCATAAGTA